TCGGGTCTGCGCTAAAAAGTGTCCGCACTTGTAAGGCGCTAAAATCGTATACAGAGCGCCAAACTCCGCTTTAGTCTTCATTTGTTCTACTGACAGCGCGATACTGCGATGACATTACAATTTAAATTTCGAATAGGTTGACTTGGGACATTTTTTCGTGGTTTTTGTATTAGACCCGTCGTCCATTTATTTGTAAGTCAATGAGACCACGGAAGAAAAAACAATGGAAGTTCCATAAGCATCGATAACTATCGGTCATAAACAAAATGATAAGAACTATGAAAAGTTGATAACTATTGGTCATAGTTTTTAATTTGAAAAGATGTAACAAATTCTGGATTGTTAATATAATTTAAACTTTACCCAGTCGCTATATCATTAAAAGTTCAGTACCTGTATTGCAAGTTACGACGTTTTGATTTTGTTTTGAAATTTTATTCGACATGCTGCCATCTTGCGGCCAGTAGCTGGAGTACGACGAACGATTAACGTCTGAACGAATAAATAATCAGAAAATTTATTAAAATAACAATTACCGGTGATTTGAAATACTGCTACAGGTAATATCTTTTATGCACTCTAAAACAGCACAATAAGGCATTTTTCTACAAATTTAGAGAATTTGCGCGAAATAATGATGCAGCCATACCATAGAAAGCGAAAACGGCGAACTGCAGCTTGATTTTGATTGCCTCTCCCGATCGGAAACTGCGTCTTTTCCGAGTCGAGGCGCATAATTGCGATTCACATCTGGCTGATCGGAAACTTTTAACATTTCTAATCGGAACAATAATTGATTTAACTCCCAAATTAGAAAGATATAGCAGGAATCAGGTTCAGCTTCTAGCTCGGAAACCCATCAAGGCCCTGATTTTAATTCAAATCCGAATCAATCGATCCAATCGTGTAGCCCATCCGCAATATTAAACGCGGAAAAGACGCACTTTCCGATCGGGAGAGGCAATCAAAATCAAGGCCCTGATTTCTAGACTATGAGCTCAAGTAGGTCTACCGAGACCACTAACCTAACCACTTCTACTGTATTTTTAGTTCTGTAATAGAGACTCAACTTCTATTGCAACATTTGTCTATAATTATCTGTGATTGCAACTAGATTTTAGCAGAATAACAAATATTATCATAATTGCAATATAGGTATCTCAATGTTAAAAATTAACATTAAAGTTGGGGCCTTGGTCGGCTTGAAGAGTTGTCCAAGTGAACAGATTCTATTCTATTCTTTGGTTACGTCTAATACTTCCTATAGAGGTCGCATCTTTACGTTATGAACGTATGTCTAACGTTTCCAACACGTTTAGGGTTGATGTAGGTACCCTTAAGCAGCGTCCAGTCTTGTCGGAGTGGCTGGACAGGAAGCTTGGCGTCCTGACGTTTCGCATGACACAGGTGCTCTCGGGGCATGGTTGCTTCGGGAAGTACCTATGCCGAATCGCCGGAAGGGAGCCTACTTTGTGTATCACCACTTTGATAACTGTCTCGAAGAGACGACTCAGTATACTCTGGAGGAGTGTCCTGCATGGGCTGAGCAGCGCGGTACCCTTGTCGCCGCCGTGGGGAGCGACCTTTCTCTCCCGACCATAATTCGCGCAATGGTTGGGAGCGAAAGGTCGTGAGACGCAGTCCTGGCATTCTGCGGGGAGGTAATGGTACAGAAGGAGGCGGTGGAAAGGGAAAGGGAAGATGCAGCCCCTGACCCGACTCGCCGTCGGAGAGTGGGTCGCAGAAGGAGAGCTATGGCTCACCAGCTGCCGACAAAGGCAACGGGTGTAGGGGGAGACAAAATCTCTCCCCGGGATGGGGTTCGGCGCTGTCGGACCAATCACAGTCGGAGTCGCGGAAGAATGCGCAAGCGTTCCCGTGACTTCGGCACATGGTGAATAGATGGAACACCGTCAGATTTTAGTCGGTAGGAGTCCGACATAACCCTTCGCCTCCCCCGGGTGTAGGATGTCCCTGAGGATTTCCTGACGTTAAAAAAAAAGGTAACCTGAAGCATAGGTACCCTACTCCTAGCTAGCTCAACAATCGTGGGATTTGTTTCGACGGTTGATCGAGCTCACTAACTTTATTTTGCTGAGTAATTAAGTAAGTAATTGTTGAATAATTCCGCTTTTAGCATAATTCAATTACTTATTTACTGAAATGCTTAATTCCATTCTCAGTTCTCGGTACCTATTCAAAGTTTTTTACGCGATACTTTTTCAGCAACAGTATTTCAAACTTTACTAAAGGACTTGAGTTTGCGCATAAAAAGTAAATAAAAGTTTTTCTCGCTTTATCGTTTACATAATTATACCAGAAAATAATATAAACACTGTAAACGAAGGAGTGTCTATTTAGCCGCAAACGTCGCTGTGTGCTAGTTCTAGGACATCACCCGCATAGCAGTGGTTTGCTCCCTCTACAGAAAATATAATACAGTCCGATTACCTTTGAAGCACATACATACTCGTATTCAATATCTCGTGTGAATGCAGCCGAGTGTAAGATGTCCATTGTAATAGGCGTTGGTATCAAATTCAGTCTCAATTGTTGTTTTTGAATCTTTAAATAATATGATTTATTGTCCCCTGCACCATAACTAACGTGTCCATACGCCCGACTGTAAGCGGGACAGTCCCGCTTTTAACCTTTGTGTTCCGGTGTCCCCAAAATACTTAACAATTAGGACAGCGTTATTTTCTGAAAGCATTTCAAGAAACGCTTTCTTTTAATGTAACGAAAAAACGTTTTCATGTAGGTTTCAGGAACGATTATGTCCCTCTTTGACAAAACAGCAGGACACACATGACATTATGGCGCCACCAGACTGTACTTAGATTAATTCTTTTTTAAATTTTCGATCATTTTTAGTTCTTTTTTAATTTTTTTTAATCAATTTCGTAACTATCATAAACATATGTTTTATTTTTAAAACAATAATAAATTTACAGGCGTCCCGCTCTGAGGGAACAAATAACGGTCACGTTAACGATAACGCTACCTTGCCACTCGCTTGCTAGCATAGATATAGAAAAAAAGGGTTGGTAGGTACTAGACATGCTCGCCCGCCCCGTCGCGTCGCGTCGTCGCCGCCGACAACGGGTTTTCCACGTCACTGCCGCGCTGCCGCCGCCGCCACCGTAGAACTTGACCGGCGTAAAATCAGCGTGGCGATAATTTATCTTATTTTAATGAAATGTAAGCTTCCAAGTCAATTATAAAAATTTTATATTTCAATAAAATGTTTCCGTACGATTAAAATGAATTATATTGCCTTTACGTACATCTTATACTTATATTTCATATTAGATTCAGTAGCAGTAGAGCTTCTTATGAAGGAGTTCGTCCAGGGAAGTACTGCCACCTTGCCTATTGCTGCCGCCAAGCAGTAATGTGAGCTTTACAACGTTCCAGCTTTGAACAATAAGGGTGCTGGTGAATACAAGAATCAACTTGTCTCAGGGTGAAAGACGCAGTAGCAGTACCTCTCAGATCTTTGCGATTTAAAGCTCTGAGTGGCATTGCAACTGCTATGGACTAGAATGTCGCTTAACACCAGGTGCACGACTTGTTCGTCACGGCCAATGTGTGGTCTGTGGTCACGGAAATTGGTAGTATAAAAAAAGTAAGATGGATTTTTTCTGCCAGTGTTTTTTTACAAACATTCTTATTTTCAGTAATAGTAGGTATCTACATACCTGCTGAAGTACCTTAACATAGTGTAAAAATGTTGAAAATAAGCAGGTTGATCTACATAATGTTTTGATTTAGACATCTAAAAACATTTATACATTTTTAGTAGTAAAACATTGTGACATTAATATGAAATAAATAACTCTGAATGATTTTATATATTATGTCTACTCTACTCACTGACTTACAATGACTGCTGCACTTTCTACTATCTACATTGTATACTCTACGCTCGACCTTCGACACTCGACTAATTTTGCTTATTTCTACCGGTAACACACTATTAAGAGATAGTACTACGTACTTACAAGTGCCTTAATGATGATGTGCCACATGCAAACAAAAATGAAACATTTACATGAATGATGTTGTTTCTAGTACTTTTTATTTTATGTTTGCATAAAAATATTTGAACTTTCATTAGGCATCGTAACCAACGTAATTAAAATTTTTAATTAGCGTTTCCATAAAATGTTTTTAACATAATAACTCGAAACAATTTGTGTTGTTAGGTCAGTGATTCTAATGTCTTCCAAATATATGAATAATTTCGCTTTATGTTGTTCATATTTTAATGTTATTAGGTATTATATGGATATAACAAACGAGAAATAAAAATGCCTACGTTAATTCGGTTGAGAACACCAAATTGGAAGAATGGCCGTAAAAAGTGAATAGCAATAAAATCTATTATTAATTAACGAGTGATGTTTTCCGAACGATCTAAGCACGTTCTATTGTTTCCGAACGGAAACCTTTTGACGTTTGGTAGATATTTGACGTGGTATTTGACAGTGACAATGGCGTAGTGTCAATACAATACATCATCGTCGAACCGACGACGACAAAATATCACCAACCAAAGAGTCAAAGAGATTTGACGCAGGCTGGTAGTCGATGTAATGGAAAGTTAAGGCCAGTTTTAGTCTGCTTGAAGGTCCAATTCTTGCTGACTCAACCAACGGAAGCGCATCGAGGTAGAGTACCAACCCAAGTTGATGAAAGCTGTACCCGATAAGCGCTAGATATCTGATCAAGTTCCATAAATAGTTCTTTACAGATAGCACAGGACAGCAGTTCGGAAATTAGTAATTAATTGAATATTTAAGTAAAAGCATACGTTCACTTATTTTGAACATTTAAGTTATGGATTAACTAGTCATTTCCTTCCTTCCACTCCTTATTGCCTAGTTAGTAATAATATAGTTAATTAAAATTAATTATTAAAAGATTCTCACCATAATTAGGTAATTAATTTACTTACTACTTTAATTGCAATTTACAGTTATAAAAAAAAACTAGAAATGATATCTCCTCGTTCATGCGATACTTTTGTGGTACTCCCGCCGCTAACTGAGAAGGGAGTTGTCATTTTTGGAAAAAATTCTGATAGGCCACAAAATGAGGTACAAGAAGTGGTTTTCATCAGAGGTGGAATCCAAGAATCGAAACTTAAGGTACTTATTATGTAGTTAAGAAATATTCATTAATCAATGAAATTTCATTAAAATAGCACTGTTGTATTAATTTTTTTTATTTTGAATTTAACACAGATTTCAAATTTTGTTTTCCATCCACTAAAAACTTGATCCAATAGAATTCTGAGCTAGAATTAATGTATTCGTTATTTTCGTGTAAAGTCACTTAATTTATTAAATATAATAAATAATGTTAAATCATAATATATGGTAACTAACATTTTCACAGTCCATGACTCTACCTAGAGTCACAAATTAAATAAAATACCGTAAGTCCTCTCATACCTATGGAGTTGCAACTACATACTACTTCGATGTCAAATATTTTGGTTGGACTTGTAGTTCAAAGCTCTGATTTTTTTTAAATTGTGAAATGGATAGTCTTTTACAAGTGTGATATTTCAAAAATAACAAAATAATTTTTACATATTTTGTATATGCAAATGTGAGAGTAAAAGACAAAACCACCACTTTTACACAAAATCCAGTGGACTTATTTTTTTTTGTGGGTTAATTTCGGCCTTTATATGGGGGACTGGGACAATGTTAAATGCAATAAAGTGTAGTTTGCAACACCTCTGCCCATCGGTTTGTGTAAATTATTTTACCTATTATTTATTTACACACTGTATTAACATTCTGTTTCTCAGTGTACATACATCATCATAGAAGGAAGTCTCAAACCTGTGAACTCTGTTATTTTGAGTAAACCAGCATGGATGTGGGGGGCAGAGATGGGGGCCAATGACAAAAATGTTGTTATTGGTAATGAAGCTGTCTGGACCAACAATAATGAAGGGGATGGTGATGCCAGACAAAGAAGATTGCTGGGCATGGATTTAGTAAGGTATTTGTTGTTTGTAACTTTTTGAGACCATTCATGTATAAGACACAAAACTAGGGGGCAGCATTAGTGCTATTTGATCAGAATAAACGGAAAATACAGTAGATTTGCAAATGCATACTTTTAATCTTATATAAGGACCATATTACAATAACTGACAAAAATCAGAAGAACTCTTGCAAATTATAGTTTTACAAGAAGGCCAATACAGAGCTCTACAATTCTGTATAATATGTGCCCTCTTACTGATGTTCAACCAGCTGACAAGCTACTTTTTAAAATTTTGTTTTGTGGTCACAATTAAAATGTAGGTTTTGAAAAATCCCATGTGCCAATTTTAAAGCCAAGTTGAGCGAGGTTGTTACTAAGTATTTATTCTACGATGCTGTGTTATTGAAACAATGGCCCTGATTGCAGTCTCGTTTGATAACTGAAAAGTTAAGATTATATTAAAAACGTGTATTTTTTTAAGGGATAATTAAATATAAAATTAGAAAACTGCAAAACTAGGATGAATTTAAAATTTTCGGGAATTATTACAGTGTGAAGAAAAAACAAAAATTAGTAGAAAAATTATATTTTGAACAACTGAAATATTGTCATACCTAGTGTTTTATTAACACATTTTATATTTACAATACAGTTTAACTAACTGCTGGACAATGCACCACTAATTACTTATATAACAGAATTCAGAACATCTATTAGAAATATATAAGATTAGAGCCACTGCACTGGTGCATTATTAAATACATTATTTTTAAATAGTGTTGGGTCATAGAAAAATATCCACCCCAAAAAACAATATTTTTCTGTTTAATATTCTAATTTATTTTTCTTATAAAAAGTTTAAACTGTTTCCACCATTTGAAATTATACTTTATCACCCAAAACTATTTTTAATTGTCAAAAATCTGAGTTTGATAGATAGATAAAACGTTTTTTCAGCGCAAATGCTAACAGAAATAAACATTTACAATCACTTCACAAAGTATAACACAAAAGCACATAAAACATAAATTAGTTCATGTTTGATATAAACAAATACTGTGAGAAAAACAAATGTTTATACTGATTACACCTATTTTGTGCTGAAATGGCCCTGACTCAGCATAAATACTGTACACCGTGAGAGGTCAAACATTGCTGGCTTTGCTGCCATACCATTACCATGCGGTGGCGATCGCAACCCAGTAAGGCATGCCACCAAAGTTATTTACAGTATTTGTAATACTCTATAGTGAAGTAAGTTATTTTTAATAACAAAAGCATTTCGAGTTCTTAGGTTTTCGCGATTGTTACACACAAGAAATTAAACTATTAACGCGTATATTTAGTTTTTCAAACAAACTGATGTTTCGGGCCCTTTACAGGTCCCATGGTCACAGTCAATCGTGAACCGTGAACTGGCCCGAAACGTCGGCTTGTTTGAAAAAACCAATATTTGCGATTTAAATCCGGAAATATTGTTTCATTTCCTGAACACTACTACACTATTTTATATTATAAAGTGATTATTTTAAACAACATTTCTTAGGTAAACACACGCTAATCTTTATAGATTGCAACAAGAAACGCCTTCTGGGTGCCAAGGATTTCTTATTTCACAGGTTAGGCTTAGAACGAGCTAACACGGCGGAGGAAGCAGTTGACGTCATAACTGGTCTCCTAGAGAAGTATGGTCAAGGAGGACCATGTTCTGAATTGGATGACAGCCATTTTTACCACAACTCTTTTCTAATTGCTGATACCAAAGAAGCCTGGGTGTTAGAAACCAGCGGAAAATTATGGGCAGCTGAGAAAAATGTGACAGGTTACAGAAATATATCCAATGGGTTGACAATAGGAACAAAAATTGATAAACACTCACAAGGATTACTGGAAAAAGCCAAGGGTATGGGAGTATGGGATGGACAGGTACTAGTAATACAATATTTTATCCCAATACTTTACAAATATTACAATGACAATTTGTACGAATATAGATAAAAATAAAGCTACAATGGCAGAATGGTGTCCAAGCTGGGTAAAACCTGTACTATGGGTCACTAGGCATCCACCCCACAGATATAACAGTAAAAATTGTATGTAAATGCAGTAATAGCTTAGCAAGCCATGATGAATCACTAAAACTTAATACATGGAATCAAACGCTTGTGCGTGCTTTTGTGTTCGCGTGTGCGTGCTTGCGTGCGTGTGTGCGTACGTACGGGTGTGTATAGTTCTGTCAATGCATGAAATTAAATGCAATGTGTTCGTCAACAACAGATCTTCAGTTTGTACATAATTCAAAGTATGGCTATTTAGAAATGGTTTGTTTGCAATATTTTTTATTTAATGGGTACAGATTTAGAATATTTTTTTACTTTATTATACGAGTATGTATAATATGAAACCAGCCAAAAATTAAAACGATCTATGAGAAAACCCAAAGTGTAATGTAGGTATTACGACAAATAATAACCTTACGTGTTTTAGTACTTAAATATAGAGGAATCGTATGGTAATTGGGAATGTAATAGTCCAACAGGATACTCAATTATATAATAGTTGTACCGTATGTACTTTGCTCAATTTGTACAGTAAGTACTGGAAAATCGAAAAGAAAGATATAAGGAAGTTTTGAGTGCCGCTCTTAGGGGCTCTTTCTAATTTTAAAAGAGTACATTTGTACCGCTCCTAGTAATTATGCAGTAGCAAAGTATAGATTGACACAATGCTATGTATACCATTCTGGTTGTACCAGGGTCAGCAACAATTCGTAATTTTTTAAATATGCATATATATATACATATTTAAAAAATTACGAATTGTTGCTATATATATATATATATATATATATA